CTTGCTAATTTAATAGAAGTTAATAAATAAAAGTCATCTTATTTAGAGTCTTTATGTAAATAATTATTTTTATTACTTTGTATTTTTCCTTGAAGATATAAACTGGATGTGTGGGCTTTTCATTAAAAGAATTCAGTAAGCAGTATCTATAACCTTGACTCCTGTATTTCATTTTAAGTCTGTTTTTTGGATATTTCTGCCTCTTTTATGTTAAGGAGACATTCTGTTTGCACAGAGAAAACTTTTAATTGTTTCAGATCAGGAGATATAGGCTGTTAGAGGAGGACACTTTCTTTTGGTGCTGACTTTCCCTTTCAGGCTACTCATTCCCACTTGCATGTCATTGTGTCAATCAGGCTAGTGTGACTGTGCAGCTGCATGGTAAACTGCATCAGGAAAATAATCTAGACTAAAAATAATCTGGGAGGGTGGGGGGGACACACAAAGAAAAGTTATTTTTAACTTTGAACTGTTCCTGAGGAGATTGTTCTTATTAAAGCTGAAAGAAATGCATATGGGAATTATGACCATTGCTGGAAAATGTGTGTGAGCACTCTGTATGAACACCACTTTGCTCAGTCTGAGAGGACACTGAGTCTAGACTAAAACAGTTGAAGACAATTGCTTCTGGATAATTGGATTATGTGATAAATTAAGCCACTTGCAGAGCATAGATGGGTCTTAGGAGGGAGAGAGATGGCAGCCTATTATGGAACAGAAAGAGAATCATTGGCTCTTGTAGAATTAGGACAAGCTGTAGCTGCAGTTGTGGGTATAGTTAGTGTGATCCAGAAGCTGATGGTTCTATTAGCATTATTTGAGTATGTATTTAACACCCTACTAAGATTGCATGTGTAGTATATATCCCCTGCACTTGGTATAATTATGCTACTTTTGTATAACAGACCTCTTCAGTCAGTGGGAGAAATTATTGGAATCAAATTCATCAATTTTTTCCGGCTTCCCTACTGGTTTGAAAAGTAAAAAATCAGTCCAAAGTGTGGGATTTTTCTCTTAAAGCAATGAATTTTATATTTAGTTAAAATCAGTCTGATGAGCAGACTCATGTTAAGAAGCACCTTCCTCCATACTGTTCATTTCTGAAAAAGAGACTCATTCTTCAATTGTTGCAAGCATCTAGTCCAAATTCATTGTCTGTATTTCCTTTGTAGTTACTGGAAGGGGAGAGGGATATGAAGACCTGCAGGGTGCATTTCCATCCCAGCTGGTTTAGGATGAGGTAAATTGCTTTCTGAAGATGCTAGCATCTTTTTGTTTATCAGAGGGAGCACAGATCTAAGTATGCACTAAGTATTTGCCTTTTAGACAGCTAAAGTTGTGGGAGGTGAATCCCACTGAATAATCTGCTCACCTTACCTGTCTTCCAGCTCAGGGGACCTGGAGAACAATCGGTCTTACTGCTAAAGACTGAGGCAAAGAATGTTTGAAGTACCTCAGGCTTTTCCTCTTCTTTAGTCACTATGTTTTCCCCATAATACAGTAAAGGATGGATATTCTCCTTACCCCTCCTTTTGTGGCTAATACATTTATAGAAACGTTTGTTACTGTCTTTTACCCCAGGACCCAGATTACGTTCTAGATGGACTTTGGCTCTTCTTATTTTCTTTCAGCAGACATCTTGTAAATTGAAGTCCCCCATAAGAACAAGAGCTAGTGATTGTAGACTTCTTCCAGCTGCTTATGGGATATTTAATCTGCCTCTTCCTCTTGGTTGGATGGAGACTATAACAGACTCCTACCATTGAATCTGCTTAATGGCCTTTACCCTGATTCTTATCCCTAAATTCTTGACCCTTTCATTGCCATCATTATCTCTAGGCAATCAAAACACTTCCTGACATACAGGGCCACCACATCTCTCCTGCCTTGCCTGTCTCTTCTGAAGAGTTTGCAGATACCTATTGCAGCTCTCCAGTTGTGTGAGTCATCTACCCTATTTCTGTGATGACAACTGTATCATGGTTTTCCTGCAGCACAATGACTTCCAGCTCCTCCTGTTTGTTGTCTGTGCTGTGTGCACTGGTGTAGATGTTCTTCAGTTGGACTATTGATCCTGCCACCTTTTTTAGGGGAGAAGTCCTAATCCTGAGCATGACCATTCTCAGGTGCTTGAAGAGGCAGAAAGAGAGCCCGTTTTGTTACTCTTTCTTTCAAGTCAAGTCATGTAAATCTTTTGGGAGTTTCTTTGGTAGCTTCTGTAAGATTCCTCCTGTTGTCTGCCCAAGTTTTACTGTGCTAGGATTACACTAAGAAGCATAGTGTTAAAAGCTTGAAGAGTACCACAGATTTATTTAATAACTTTGGAATATTTTTGCTGTCATTTTCCATCCTCTTTTTTATGTATACAAACAGAGTGTTTGCTCTTTTGATCACAGATAGCCACTGGGCAAATGTTTTAATTGAGCTTTCCATACTAATCATAGAACCATAAAATCAGAGAAGGTTTTGGGTTGGAAGTGACCTCTAAAAGTTATCTAGTCCAACCCCTCTGTGATAAGCAGGGACATCTCACTAGAGATTTGGCTTTTGTTTTGCTTTTCCTGAGTTGATAACAGTTCACTCTAACCCTAGAAGTGAGTTGTTCAAATTAATCCCTTTTGTGTGCATTGCTTTGCATTTGTCAGCATCAAATTTCATCTGTTCCTGCTGTTGAATAGTTAGTAGCTCCCAATGACAGAAACTGCTAGAGGACTGCCAGTTTAAGTCCTCGAGAGAACCAGGTAAAGTCATGTGTTTGATTTGTTATCAGTGTTGGAGGAAAGTCAACACAGTTCTGATTTCCTTTCAATTGGTTATTTATCTTAAGAACATACACATAGGAAGACTGCATTAATTCTGATTTTTGACAGCTTTACCCTGGTCTCTTCAGACCTTCTGTGTTCCTGAGCTACCAAGGATAAGCCAACCTTTGGATTTCACAGAATCACAGAATTGTCACAGTTGTAAAAAGACCTCCAAGGTGACTAAGTCCACCTGTCCCTGTTCTGCCTTCTGCACTATTTTTTTCAAGTGACTTAAAACCATTTGAGGGTGGTTGGCTGCAGAACGTGGTATAATTTTGCTGAGATTTAGTGATTTTTGAATTCTTAATTGCTGAGAAGAGATGAGAGTAGCTTTATAAGCAAACAGTGTGGTTCAGGTTAACAAAGGGCTGAGAAATTTTATGGAACAATGTATCTATGTTTATAGTGAAATTTATCTATTATAACACAAACACTTCCATGAAAATCAAAATTAGAACTTAAGTTGAAACATTGATGTTTTGTTTATAGCATCTTTCACCATTCATATCTGCCTTCAGTTCTGATATTTTGTTCCTACAGAATGACACAGACGTTATTTTCCCACATCCCATATGTCCAAATCATGTATAAAGATATTTAGCTCAAATACCATGCGTGTGAAGCATTCCATACTGTGGGTAAGAGGTGACATTTGGTTTGTCTTTAACATGCTATGGTGTTCAGTTACAATACAGCAAATTTATTTTTATTCAGTGTTCTTCACAGAAAGTATGGAAAATTGCTTTGCAGTGAGTCATCTGTCAGCTAAAGAACTAGAAGTCTTGTGGTGGTATTTAAAAAGAGAAAGTGGCTCAGAGCTGACAGAGTTCAAGGCAGAAAAAGAAACAAATTAAAGAGAGGGCCTCCAACTATGGAGAAAGTAGAGGCAAACACTGGTAGGGGAAGGTATGGTAAGAAAGCCAAACAAGCCAAGTGTCAGACGCAGTTCAGGAGACTGTCTAGATCATTCAGAAACAAGTGTTGGGCTTCAGCTGTCTCTCCTGCATTATACCAGCATTAGCCAAGCAAGGATTCTTTGACCCTAGGGGAGAGGAATGGTGTAAAGCCAGGTAAATAAGAGCACTGGGCTTAATGCGTTCTGAGGAATTTAGAAACAGGCAGGTAGAGGTTGAGGGAAGAACAAATGGCTTAACTTCATAGGGCAAGACATTAGAAGAACACTTCTATTCTGCACACCATGATGTTCAAACATGTGAGGATTTTGTTAGACCATGAAAGAAGGAATTTCATTCAGTGGCACTGGAGTTACTGTAGGCATTAATATGGACTTCAGCAACAGTGCAGTCAGAGGGAAGATGGATTCTGACAGTCTTCCCTTGCCAGTGCCAGGATGGCTCACACTTAGAAGTGAGCATGTGGGAGAGGCAGTCAGTTCAGGGTCAGAGATGACTTTAGATCTCTGGCTTTGAGTACAGGGATAAGATCTGAGTAAAGCAGCATGAAAGCTGTATTGGAGAGCAAGAGGGACTGCTTTCCCTTGACATTTGAGTCTTTTGAAGAATTAGCTAGTAAGGAAATTATAATGTAGCAAGGGCATGACAAAACCAAGACAGGCTGTTAAATAGATCAGAGATTACTTGCCAAGGTTACTGATGCCTTTCATGCTTTGCCTGTAAAGTTGATGTCCAAAGCTGAGCTAGCAGTAAGATATCCCAAAGGAAGAACGTGTTTAAGGAGAAAGTAGAAGAATCAGAAACAGATGCCTCATGTTTTTAAGGCACAGAACTATTGTATATATTTCATCTATATAAACACTATTGTCTTTTATTGTGAATTACATGCATTTTTCTTGTGATGTGGGGCTCCTTGGGGGAGCTCTCTCATCCTGCGTCCCCCAGCCTGCTCATTCTGGTTTTTGCCCTGGCAAATCTTGTGCCCTCACTCTCTGTATTGAGCCGTACTATCTGCCTTTAAAAATTAAATATGATGTAAAGCATGTAGCATGGAGACTACAGTCCTTACTGAAAGCAGAAGGGAAGAACTTCTTACTCAATGCATTTGGAACATTTGGCTTTGACACTGTAGTACTGAAAGGCATTCTAAGCATAAAAGTAATGTTAGAGCCACTCAGACATCCCAGAATTTGAAGAGAGTAATATTTCATTGTATGCAGTTCCAAAATGCTTATTACAGATCTTCTTATTTACAACTATCATGTCTATCTTGAATCTGCAGAGGAGGAATATCAAGGACAAACCAAGAGAAAGCGCATTCGAAGGAAGAAACAAAAGAACAGTTTGCAAAACTATAATAATTTACATGGAGAACAAACAGAATCTGGTCTGCAAAAGACTCTTGTTCAAGATGATTTACAACTGCAGCAGATAGACAGTCCTAAAATAAGCAAAAACAAGAAGAGGAAAATGAAAAAGAAGCGACGGAAAGAAAAAATGAGGGCATCTGGCTTAGTAACAAAAACTACCAGTGTGGATTTTACATATCAACCTGACAAAAGCAACAGAGAAGAAGCAGCAGGCTTAAAAGACATAGATGAAAAGTCAAATAGCATTTTGGACTTCCTGCAGGCAACACAACAAATTTATTTTACTGACAGTATGTACCACTCTTTCTTCTTTCTTTTCCTGAGTATTACCATGTAGAGGAAAATAGAAGTATACTTATTATTGCTGTAGAATGGGTCAAATCTACCAGAGAAGCATCTGGTTTGAACTCAGTAAAACATGTGAATAGTTACTATTTGTCCCATTTTCTGGTGTGTATATGAATGTGTAAGAATCCACATCAATAGGAAAAGCTGTGGTCCTAATATCTTTTTTTTTTTTTCTCTCTTTGAAAATATACATAATATTCCTTGGTCTTTTTTAAAATATCCAGATGCACTTGGGCTAAACGTAGTAGTTAAATAGGACCAAATTCTGCTTTCCCCTGCAAGCAAATATCCAGAAGGATTGCATGTTTTCAGAGTTTCAAATGAGGGTAATAATTGCTATCCTAAACTAATGCTTACCATTTCTGAACCAACCTACTTTTCGGAAAGTTCTCCCTCCCAGGAGGAGATTTATTTGTACTATATAAGAAAATCTAGGCAGATAGCATTGAAGAGGAGTGGAGAAATACTGTTGGCATTGGGAAAGTGTATTGGCATGAAGCACTTCTGAACAAGACGAACGTGAACTGATACTCAATGTACATTCCATGGCACTTTTAGAAGGGTTGTGTGGCTGTTGTCCTTAATGGCCTATTCAATGTTCATGTAGCCACTAAAATCAGAGTAATTCCTACTGTATGTTTCTTTCTTTGCCTTCCTAAAAAGCTGACTTTATGATGCTTATGTCATAAATGCCTTTCAGAGATAATGACGTTTCAATAGTAGTTATCCGTACATACACCAGATTATGTTGGTATCATCTAGAATTAAGTATGTTTTCTTAAGGGCAAGCGGTTGTGTTCTTTAGTTGCTCAGCTCAGAACATGGCTTTGAAATTATAACTGTCTTATAAAACTGGAAAAAAGCAGTGGAAAAATGTTTCAAAGTGCGTGGCCTTGACTGCCTTTGTGGAGCTGAATGAAGAATATTAAAGAGCTTGCCTAGCTGTATGCATCCATCTTAAGTCAGAGCTGTCAGCTCCCGGTCCCATAAATTAATCTTAGACTACGTAATTATTTTAAAAACCCTGTTAAGATTACATCAGGGATTTAATGTTAATTTTTTTTCTCAAGTTTTATATGTCGAATTTTCTTTGCTTGCTGTTAATTTTTTCTGCTACATCAGCAGAAGCCTATTGTTCAAAGTACCTCCTACTTTCTGGCTAATGCCATCATCGAAAGTAAGAATTGTAGTACTTCAGTGTATGGCTAAGTAAATGTAAGCTAAACTGCATGCGTTTGCTGCAGTGGAATGCCAGAGTACCTGAGAAGGACTGCAAATTCAGTTAACAGTTCTGCTGTTGATACCTGAGCCGGAACAGAAACCTGGTCAGTTGTCCACAGGTGTGTTGCACACAACTGGCCCTGCTGTCAAACATACTGATGGGAGGAGTGAGCCAGTAGGGACCTTGGAATGCACAGAGAGAAATCCTCAGGTAAAAGGAAGTTCATCTGCAGGTGAGATGTCACATCCATAAATCAGAATGTGACTAACTTGCTTGTAAGGCAAATCCCAGTTTATATATAGATCAGACATGTTGTTTACCTTTTCTAGCTGAGTGACTGTAACACTCCCCATTTTTTTTAGGTAAAATTGGAAATTTTAGCAGCATTTTCAAATGGTCACATTGGATTATGCTTCTTGTATTTATGTCAAAAAGCTGAATTGGAAGAATTTGTTCTTTTCAGTTGACTTGCTGGTAAAAAAACAGGCAAACATTGTTACTGGAATGAAAGAATTGATTTATGCACTAGTGCTGTAGAAACAATGCATGTCCTCTCTGCTGTCTTGCATGCTGTAATAATCTGCTTTTTAAATAAAAATGTACAAGTACAAGAACAGTCTAATTGGATGCCTCCTGAAGAGCTTTGCAGTAGTTCCACAGAGCTGATCCCTGTCTCAACATGTGTGTGCATTTTGATAATACTTAGTGTGGGGGAAGCAAAAACAGTGCTTTGGCCACCGAACAGTTTCTTCATCACACCTTCTTCCTGTGCTAATCTGGAAAATTGAGGTTCGTCTTACTTTCCTGTCATGATGAATCCTATGGTCCTTTTTACTTTTTGAATTTGATGCTTTCCCCTCTTACCATTGTTTTAATATTAGATGAAAAATGGGAGGAACAAACTGCTCTCTAGTATATGATACTTGTTTCTGAGATGCACTAGAAGGAGGGTGCTGTCTTCAAAAAGAAAGTATGAGGCAAGTTCTCTGTGCCCATTGAGTATTTTTAATGTGGTTTTCTAATTGTTTTTCCAGATAAATCAGAATGCACGGATTCTGCTGTCAATTCAGCAACTGCCCAAGAGCTTTTACGATATATTGAATTTCGCACCATCTCTTCCTCAGATTTGACTCTTCTACATCAACTGAAATCCCTTGTATTAGTACAGGATATCGAGAGATTGAAGGATGCTTTGAAACAATTCCAAGAACAATCCATGCTGCCTCCTGGTAGGTACCATTCACTCATGTTCATTCACTGATGTTCTTTTTTTGCATGAATTAGAATTCAGGTTTGTCACATATTTTTTAATTAGGAAGATGTAAAAATTATGTAGTGGTAAACATACAGGATTTAAAAGCATGATTTCCACGGAAAATACAGTGATTTTCCCAGTTTCTTGTTTGATTACCATCAATAAAGAAACTTTTTATATTTTGCAGCAATTGTAGATGATTCAGGTTCTTAAAGCAATATATTTTAAGTCTTAGCTGTTTTAAGATTTCCTCATGTTTAAAGCACATTTTTAATACATTCTCTTTGCAGAGTTTTTAAATCACAGGAATTAACTTGTTTATCTCAGAAATTTCATGCATCCAGTTAAGGATTAATTTTTACATGCATAGGAATGAATAAAGCCCCTTATTTCTTTTCTTCTTGGTCACCTATGTGGCTTTTTTTAATACATGGATTTTGCATGCCAGAGTTTGATTTACAGTTTGATTTTAATTTAAATGTATAGATCTGGTCTAATTTTCTTAAAAATACTGTAAAAAAGTAAAGTCACTCTTTATAATGAATTATAAAGTCATTCACATAAAGAAAAATTATTCTGTGACTAAATCTTTTTATCCCTGTGGCACAAGTTAGACTTCATTTGTGCTCCTTTTGTTCTGTATTAAAACCCCTATAATTTTAGTACATTTTCTTCTTGGACAGTTAATAGTTCCTCAAGTGAATGTGGGATCAGCATCTAGTCCTCAGAAAGTATAATAATTCGTTTTCCAAGTAGTCTTCATTTAAACAGTCATTGTTACTTATCATTAGTACTTTTATTGCAGCATCAGCCAAATCTACAAGGTGTGCTGAATTTTCTTGCCCCCTGAAGAATTTAATTGGAATTGAGAGCACTTGATATGGCATGAGGGAGTCTCAACAATTTTAGACAGTGCTCTAAGTCTTTTGAAGAATAATGACTGAGCTGGTAGTAGTGTGGTAACAGAATACATGAAACCATAGCCGTCAGAGGCCTAGCAATAACATTCAAAGAGACTACTGCTTATAACATCATTAAATCATTTACAGCATAATAGTAGCTAAAGATCTTAGTCCACAACTGGAGCCTACTGCATGCTATGCATTGTGAGAACAAGGAAAAGAGGGAATTCCTGCCTTTAGAGTTCATAGCTGTTGCATTTTGAAAAGGACACTCTTAGGGAAGTATGTATGTATTCTTTAAAGTGTAGATATGGACTATGACAGTCCTTAAGGTTCTGATAGATCTGAAGTATCCTCATATACATGTAACAAAATCCTTCTGTGCATTCAATAATTAATTTGAAGTCTAGATTTTATAATTAATTATAAACAGATTATCTCATTAGATATACTATACATTTGCAAACGAAGTAGGACTCAGCAGG